ATAAAATGAATTGCATCGTACAATGAATTTTTATTCAATACATTAACACTACATTTGCTACAGTTCGAGAGGCACAGTAAAAAAAGTTCGTTTTAGGAAAATGCGAAAACAAAGAGGAACCTCCCTTTGAAAAATCCTGGATCCGGCACTGGGACATTCCTTTTATGGCGATATTTAGACACTAGAAGTATTTGTTATCTAAAATCTTAACAATAACAGAGGCGCGCAAAGCATAATGGAGTAAACTGGGCCTTTAAAAAAATCAAACGTAAAATTTTCGAATTTTTGTCTCATTTGCCTCGTTTTCGCTCAAGGATGCTCTTCCAAAAGAGTTGGGCCGAGGTGAAACCAAAAAGTTCCAGAAGAAAGAACCTTTAGGGCTACATAAAACTACAGACATGGTAAAATTAATTGGAATATGTTCTCGATAATTGTTATAATGCTATAAAAGGCCGGCTGAATTCTTCTCTGCTTTTCCCGTAGGCTTCGTTCTCGCGTACTTTCAGGCGAAGTCTGTTTCGCCATGGAGTTGCGCTTGTTGCATGCACAACAGTGATTTCGTGCGGGYATTTTACGGCTAAAGGGGACGAACGGTTTTATGAAAGCGTGATTATGCCTGCTGTCAAGCTACTGAACGCCGAGTYTGCACACAGCATGGCAGTTAAGCTTGCATCGTATGGGTTTGTACCGAAAGATACCGAACAGGATCCGGAAATCTTGGTGAGAAGAAGAACATGCAAACAAATAGAAATCCAGTCTTATAATAAACATGTGTTTTACTGATTGAAGTCCGAGAGAGAATGTCCTAGTTTATCTTAATAATCGTTTTACATTGCCTCGTGAAAAAGCTTTTTTTTTTTGAAAAAATATCATTCCACAGGGAGCCCAATTATTTGATGTCATCGCTGCTTGTTTCAATGTTTTTGTTGTTTAACCTTTTTATGACTTTCAATAGACTTATCTATGCATACTTCATTTTCCAAAGAATACAAGCGTATTTGGTCTTTCATTCCAAAACCCTGTTGGACTGGCTGCAGGATTTGACAAGAATGCCGAGGCTGTTGATGGACTGTTGAAGATGGGGTTTGGTTTTGTTGAGGTTGGAAGTATCACACCAAAACCACAGGATGGTAACCCTAAACCAAGAGTATTTCGGCTTATAGAAGATAAAGCTGTAATCAACAGGTCTAGTTTGTTATTGTCATCATTATCAACCTCCCTCAAGTCTCAAATATCAGAAATTTCAGAAGAAAGATTACTCAGCATGAAAAAAGGAAGTCTGAATGCTTGGTTCAAATATATTTAAAAGTTCAAATCCTGGACAAAAAGAGTTGAGAATGTTTTAAAAAATCGCTAAATGTTGGAAAGTCTTTGTATTCTCTCTATTTTCCTGCCCTCCTTTGCTCAAAGCTCAAAGTTGTGTTTAGAGAGCACATATACCTGCTGGATTCTGTTGAGTGCTTACAAAACCATTTAGGGGGAAGTTCTAGAGGGCATGTTCTGTTGAACTGACATGGTGCAGTTATTATTCTCAACTTTTTTTTCCAATTTTTCTTTGAATCTTTTTCACATTAAGTTATTGAAGTGACAATAAATGAAATGTTTATCTTCTTGTGAACAGATATGGATTTAACAGCCAAGGCCATGACAACGTCAGGCAGCATCTCCTTGACCAACAAAACGAGAATCGACAAGGAATACTTGGTGTTAATTTAGGCAAAAATAAGACATCAGAGGATGCTGTTGGTGATTATATCAAGGGAGTAAAGTGTTTTGGTAGCTTAAGCGACTATCTCGTCATTAACATATCATCACCAAATACTCCTGGGCTTAGAGCAATGCAAGGCAAAGAACAGCTTACCAGACTAATAGATGAAGTAAGAATAAAGCTTGTGTCTACTAGATATATACATTACCTTTGAGATTTGGCTTTTAGAATATAAAACCGTAAAGAATCCAGAATTGTTTATCAGGTTATTTATCATCCACTAATGTATTATATATTTTTTGTAGGTTCTTGAAGCTCGTAATAGTTTACCTTTACCTCGACTACCTCCTGTATTAGTCAAGATTGCTCCAGACCTAACACAGAAAGACAAAGAAGATATAGCGGCAGTCATCACAAGGCCTGATGTATGCTCATGAAATTAGTTCTTGATTGATTGATTGATTGATTGATTGATTGATTGATTGATTGATTGATTGATTGATTGATTGATTGATTGATTGATTGATTGATTGATTGATTGATTAATTGATTAACAAAGTCAAGCAAAATGTGTTCATTTTTCAGGCTTTTGTTGATGGTATAATAGTATCGAATACCACATTATCAAGGCCACCAAGTTTGGTGAGTAGCAACAGTAAGGAAACTGGAGGGCTTAGTGGTGAGCCCCTTACACAAATGTCGACAGAATTAATAAAAGACATGTATAAATTAACTAATGGTGAGTAAAAAATAGAATAGAAAAAAGTACAATGAAATATGGTTTCTATATGGCCTTTTCTGAGATGGCAGTTTGCATTGCATTGTGGTCTAGATTAGGCCCAAACATCTTTTGTTCATGCTGAGAAATATGCTGTTGTTTGAACTGAAGATAGACCACAATGCACCATGATTTTGTATTTCAGGAAAAAGTCAGTGATAAGAAATGAAATAATATTATAAACACTGTTTTTTCAGGAATGCTGCCGATAATAGGTGTTGGAGGAATTTCAACTGGGCAAGATGCTTATGATAAAATCAGGGCAGGTGCTTCATTAGTTCAATTCTACACAGCATTAGTATATCATGGTCCTCCAGTCGTTAAACGAATCAAACGTGAATTAGCTGAGCTTCTTAGGTAACTTTGCAGACTCTGTGACTATTTGATTGATAAAATCTTGATTGATGGATGGATTGATTGATGGATTGAGTTCTAATCGATTGTATGACTTGTCAGCTGACTGATTGGCAGATTGATTGACCTATTAATGGACTGATTTGTTGATTGACAGATTATTAATGATTAATGTTGATTGATGTTCTTTTACAGGAGAGATGGATTTAATACAGTCAGTGAAGCTGTTGGAGCAGATCAGCAAAAATCATCCTAACTTAATTAAATTAATGTAGTAAAACTAAATAAAGTTTATGAAATATGTTGCTGCATGTGGGCTTCCTGTGTCTCTTCTTTCAATATTCACCTGCTATAACGAAAAAGAGATAGACAGAATAATGTGTGGATTTTAAAAAAATGATGGTACCCAAATTTTTTTTGTAATATCTTTTACGGTGAAAATAGACTTGAAACAAAATATTCAATGATGGATTGTTAATTGGACTCCCTGTGTAGTCCTTCATCAAGGAACGCCTGTCGAAAATTGCAGAAAACATGGCGGCCTGTTATGCAAGGAGAAGGTTGTTCTCAAAATTATTCAATTTTCGACGGAAATACCCACTCTGTTTTTGCTCAAACTACTCATCGAACAGTAGCCAAAGCAATGCTCAATATTGCATTCAAATCGTAAGGTATGAGTGGCTCTACGCTTTGCGTTTGGCAACTGAGGTTCGAGATGATTTTCTGATTGTCAACATGTTGTCATTATAAAATATTTTGCTTCAGGCGAATGGACTATGAAAACTTCCTTTGTACTCTTCTTATTCCAAAGAAGTTTCAGAAATCTGCGTTTGCTGTTCGTGCATTTAACGTGGAATTAGCGCAGGTTAGGGAATTTATTTTCCATCGTTGTTGATGTTGGTTGTTGTGTTACGTCATCGAGATAAAAGTGTTGCCTTGATGAATAGCATTAACAATATTGAACATCAAACTATCTTTTCAAGATCAGGGACGCTGTAAATGATAAACAGATTGGTAAAGCCAGGATGCTGTTCTGGAGAGATTGCCTTGAGCAAGTTTACAAGGTTTGCACAATCTTTGATGACTGCATGTTTTGAACAACTTCATTTGATCTTTTCGGTTCACAAACTGTTTAAAGGGTCAACCTCCACAACATCCTGTTGCAATGGCATTRACTGAAGCAGTTGAAAAGCATAACTTATCAAAAAGATGGTTTACAAGACTAATAGATGCAAGAGTAAGTACACACTACCATCCTAACTTGCCATGATTTTCGTGATATAGTTGTCTTCATTATTCTTAGGAAACTAACCTTGAAGACAAACCTCATCAAGATATCAAAAGCTTAGAGGACTACAATGAAAACTCTGTGTCTTCTGTCCTATATCTTATATTAGAGTCATCAGGTATCTATTAAGAAAGACAATGATATAATATGTATCACATAAGTGGTTTTCATAGAGTTCCTAATTCCTGATTGATTGATTGGCAAAGGTTTGGTTATTTGGCAGATTGARTGATTGGCAGATTGTTTGATTGATTAATTGATTGATTGACAAAGGTTTGGTTATTTTTGACAGAGTGAGTGATTGACAGATTGTTTGACTGATTGATTRATTGACAAAGGTTTGGTTATTTGACAGATTGAGTGTTTGACAGATTGATTGATTGATTGATTGATTGCAAAGGTTGGGTTATTTGACAGATTGATTGATTGATTGATTGCTCATTAAATGTCTTAGGAATAAAAGATGTCCATGCTGACCACGCTGCTAGTCATATTGGAAAAGCTATTGGAATTGTTACACTTTTAAGAGCTGCTCCATATCTTGCTAACCAACGAAAAGTCTATATTCCAAGTGACATACTTATCAAGGTACAGATTAATCAATTTATAAATTGAAATTGGGAGTCCTGTGTTACCATTGACGTAGTATTCATTTAAGTGGACCTGGAATCTATAAACAAACTAAACGCTCCTTGAGCATGAAGTCAGACTAGCTTTTTTTGAAAATTGATAAAGACTTTCTTTCTTCTTCTTTAGCATGAAGTGTCACATCAAGATGTAATTCGTGGTAATGCTTCACAGAGTTTAAAGGACGTTGTCTATGAACTTGCTAGTACTGCCAACACTCACATGTCTACTGTAAGTAACAATAAATCCATACTGCAGTTTATGGCTTGGTTGACTATAACCTCATTCATATCGATATTGATTATGTCACATGTTTGAAAAATAAGGAAGCCTTTCTATTTTTTCTTTGCATATTGRATTTTGCTTGGATAGGCGAGATCCTTCCAATCCAAAGTACCAAAGGCAGCAATCAAGACCTTACTACCTGGTGTAAGTACTGTATCTATAGGATGTTTTCATTAAGCAAGATTATCTTCAACAAGGTTTTGTAGCATTAAATCTACACCTAATTGGGGAAAGGTGACTGAGACTTATCTGAGCACTGACAAGTAAAAACTAATGTTGCAATGTAGACTAGAGGAAGGTTATCTAGCAGAAAAAGAGTCTATGAGCTTAATGATGATTAGTGGACAAATTATAGTAGCTCTACTAACTCTTATAGAGGTAATTTAGCTGTATGTAATCTTTTTGTCATTTTCTTGATTTTCACAGGTTTCCTGTCAGAACTATCTCGACAAGGTCCAGAAGGCAGACTTCAATATGTTTGATAATTCATTAAGGGAAAGAAATAATTTATTACCATTGCAACTTTTAAAGCAAGTATTAAAAGGCAAATATTAAAATTGAGGAGAAAAAAATTGTTTGAATTTAAGTAGATCATGTTATAATGTACGATTCGAATTTTTACAAAATAAATTGATATCTAAATATTTCAATCAACAAACCTTCAATAGAGAATCGTCTCCAAAGGCGGCTCGATTCTCAGGCAATCCTGACGTCCTTGTTCCTTACTGTCCTCATACAAAGGCAACTTTGCATCGGACCATCCGCTCCTTCTACCTGGCTCTCCAGGATTTTAATTTACTCGCACAAACGAAATATTTTGCTAGCTAGCAGAACGCTCGACGTACAAGACTTTCTAGACGCTTCATTCAAATCGCGGTCTGGTAAACACAGCTAGCAAATGCGTGCGTTTTCTGACAGCATATAAAARACATGCTAGCGTKGTGTTGTGTTGGAAAGTGGATCATTATAATACTCTAGGGATAGGCAAGATAAATTAGGTAATAATTCTTGCGTTGTAGAACTGTAGCAATTAGAAAAGCGCATAGGGAAGGGCGTGGCACGCGATAGRATTCTCAACCTATCGCAACTTCCAAATCGTTATCCAAGACTTTTATTCCATTAAAATACCAAGATAGATTTTTCATCTTTTTCGCCGTTTTTGCGGGTGTGAACATCGCAATCTCGTTTATTCGCGCGCGTGATGCGATGACAAACAGCCTCGCATATAAAAAACTTGCGACAGTCTTTACTTAGGCTTTTTATTTTTCACTTGCGTCCACTATTCAAGAAATATTATCATTGAAAAGCACAAAATTTCAAACACTACGAAAATGTACATTTAAACACGAAATTATGTGAAGTATTTCAATGCGTCATGAATGTAGGGCGAGAAAGAAACATTTTTCCTTGTCGTTCGCGGAGTTTTTTTCAACTTCTGCGCTTTGGGAGTGTTTTGTCCCCACCCCAATGAATGAAAAGCAACCACAAACGCTACAAAAACGCACCGGTATGGACAAGGCCTTGTAACCATGTTTATCCTTTGTTGTGAATCAGTCGAAGCGATTGTAAGCCTATCATTTATTTTCCGTCTAAGACCAGACCACCGCCTCTTGATGCAAAAACTGCCCAAGTCTAATATCTTGAACAGCATCATTTTTGCCTCTATATTTTGATAAAAGCTTAGCAATATAAGTCCTTTACTTCGTAATTCTCACAAATGTTTATAGATGGTTAAGTATATATCGTGAAATAACAATATATAAACAAACAGAACTCCTTTGTATTGTCAGTGATTGGCATCGTCATGGATACAAAATATACACGTGCACATTCTTGAAATATTTTCATCACTATGGAAATTTCATCAGTCGTTACTAAGGGAACCGTCAATCATCAAGATCGCTGTCATCATCAGATGATAAATCTCGTGGWGAAAATTTGCGAGTATTTGCTGATGTCGTGTTAGTATTTCGTAATCTGCAAAAAAAAAAAAGATTTCATTAAATCAGAGAATATTTGTTATCCAAGGTTCCGTCATTGTACAGGTCATTGTATTTAGTTTATCATGTCTTTAATGCAGGGAGAAGAACACATTTTAATATTATTCAAAAGATTTATATGTATTTATAAGTCATTAATTATGTTAATGGAAAAAAAGTGTCATTTTAAACGTGTCATTTTAACGTTTATTTTTCTAAGAAGATTGTGTTAACTCGTGGATGTCGTACGCAGCGCAAATCATACGCGCGTAATTTTATTGCCGTCAATAAAAAACCATTTAGAGTAAATTATAGGAACTTACACTAACCCGTTAGCATGAAATCCTTATCTAACGTGAGTTGCGAGAAAGTAGACATCTTTAGGAAAGAGAGGTGGTAGAATAAAAGAACAAGGTAAAACAGAAGGAAAAATAAAACACAAGAAAGATGTTACTTTTCAAATGTAATTAAGGTATTTAAAACATTTAATTAATGAATTGTACTTAAGAAGTTTATCAAATGTTAATCTCTTTCAGTACAAGACTGATTTAAAATTTATATTAACGCTATTACCTCTATTTTACATTCAATATCTTTTTATGAAATCCTACAATGATCGAGGCTTTAACAAAGAGAAAACAAAATTATCTTTTTATTGAATATATCAGTAAGTATTTTAACTTTGATTGGTTTTCGAGACGAACCTTGAAGTCAAATGCTGTACTTGGACTTGTAGGCTCTCAGCACGCTCAGTTTGCTCATCTAACGATCTTTGAGTCTTTCGTAGTAAGTTTAGTTGTGAATCGGTCTAAAAATGAATAATTTATACGTAAAAATATATTAAATTATGAATATATAGAATTAAAGCGTGGCTAAAATAATGTACATTCATGTTGCGTCCTAGTGGATTCACTTTTAGCCCCCAGCTATTAGAGAAGAAAGTTCATTCGTTTTAAAACCCTTCTAAGCAGAAACATTTYATTTAGCCCAGCCTTGAGATRAGAAAGTRCATTCKTTTATGTCTTAYTTCTATTTCTAAACCCTTTAARCAGAAAAACGWMGAATATTTTGATACCTCGTCCTCTGCTTTAGTGATTTCTATCTTGAGTTCTTCCACCCGTAGTCGTAATTTCTTCACTTCGCTATCATGTTGTTCTACTCGCTTGTTAGAATGCTCTAGTTCTGATGTCTACATATGCAAAAAAAAAAGATTTCAATATAAACTCACTAAACAGTTACATGAGATTTGTAATTATCCATTAGAAAACCAAAGTTTGAATATGGTTATTTGTTTTAATTTTTGCGTCGCGCGCATGGATGTGGTCGCTTTCCGTGTGCAAAATAGAAATTCTTACTTTCTCTACCAATAAAATATCGTGAACGCCGATTGACAATATATTGTTCGGTCAAAAAATGTTAACGCTATTTTGCTGTGCATAGTTTCATGAAGGAGCTAGAAAATTTCATGTTTTTCTCAAAAGCGCTTTTACCTTTTCTTGAAGTTGTTTTTTCATCTTGTTGTAAGCGTATCTAAGGTCGACGAGTTCCTGTCATAAATAATTCAATGGTTTATAATGGTCCCAAATTGGTATTAAAACCCGGAATATTTACGGCATTGGTGATAAAAATATCAACTGAACAAATTCAAAATCACATTTTGATAAGTAAAATCATGGCTTTTTGAATTGTACACCTACAGAACTTTTTTCTTCGAGCTGAACTTGCAAAGCTTTGAAGTCAGTATCCATAATCTTTGACGCTCTTGCAGTTTTGTGGCTGAGAAGACTTTCTAAGTCCTAACGTGTAAAGACAACATTAAATATAGTAAATAACTTTATTATATATTATATATATATTTATAATAATGAGAAGCAGCGATCAGTAAATGTATCACTTACCTCGACTTGAAGTTTCATTTTCTTATTTTCTCTCTCGAGTGAGGATTTCTCCGTTTCTAGTTTTTCGCGCTTACTCCATTCTAGTGCATTTTCAGTTTGAAGTTTTTCAATCTGTTAAAAAAGCCAAACAAGAACTATTAGGAGTATTTTATGTGCAACACTTTGAATATACTGATGGTATTTACTCCCCGCTAGCTTGTTATTAAATTATCAACCTTTTCAGTGGTTCTGTATGACTGTATGTGGCAAGACAAATGCCAATAATACGAGAACGCTGGATTGAATTTTGAAAATACGTTTTGTCGACCATGTTGCCAATTTTTGGTCAAAAGAAATGCACGTTTTTATCGGGGTCAGGTTTCAAATAATTAAAAAGAAAAAGACTGGGGATTTTCGTTTTCATGTCAAACGCTGGAGTAATAAAAAATACAGTTTTCACACTTTTTGCTGTCAAAGTTGTTTACTTTGTTTCTGACATTGAAAACCATTGAAATGTTTGTAAACAAACATTTTTGTGGGTTTTGATTGGTTGAAATAAGTGACAGTAAATGACAACTACATATCAACTGTTTTGTAAGTAAAATGTGATTGGCTCAAGAGGGCAGAAAGCCAATTGAATGCCTGCAAGTATAGCCATAACATAATTTATTCATAAATGCATTTGAATGGGCTTAACTATAAAAAAAACTTTTAAAATTCATTTATGCAGTTGAATGGGTTTTTACTTGCAACGTCTTAAAAATTTATTGTAAAATAAAGTCCGAATCAAAACGTATTATTGTCTAATTTCCAAATGCAAATGTATTAGTTTTACTGATAATTGATGCAAGAATTTTATATATATAATGGTCTATAATGTGTCTTTACCTCGGCTCTCATCTCTTTGAGCTTTTGCATATTAGCAGAATTTGTGTAGACGTCTTCCAGGTCAGCGTTCAAGCCATCAATCTCTTTTTCGTAGCGATTTTTCAATCTTGTAATCTTGAAAAGAGAGCATTTTCAGATATTGATAATAGATAATGAAGTTCACATGTCAAAGGTATTAGAAAATCTGTAGAACATTTGTTATAGAACTAAAGATGCAGTCGCCCTGCAAGAACTCCATTGCTTTACATACTAGACATGCAAACACTGCATCAGTAACATCAATAATATCGGCGTATACCTCCGATTCTCTGCCTTCTCTATTTGTCTGGAGATTTTCATTCTTTAATTTAAGTGATGTCAGGTCCGACTGAAGTAATTCAATCTCTTCTACAAGATTCGCCTTGKAGCTGCAAGAAAGAAAAGAGCGGTAATGAAGCTGTTAGCTGGGAAAATCATTGTCCCGAACATAGAATAAAAACCTTGAGGATGGAAAAGAAACTGATAGCTGAGAATTATTGATACCATTTCAAGATATAGATAGACACAATCCAATTGGCATAAAGTTCATAAAACTGCGAACTAATACTTTAATAATTATCTAATATTCTCTCAAATTACAATGTTCTAATATGTATCAATTTATAGCGTACACAATTAGTCATTTTTTGAAAAGAAACTATGTATACATTGTAAAATATTGAAGCGTGAAACGGTTTCAATGAATGCACAACGGAAATTTTTCTTATTATGCAAAGAGTGGTTGGAACTTCAAATATTTTTATATAAATGCATTATTGCCTTTTGTGATATTGCTTCGTTATGCTATTAAAAGCATGTTGCTAATTATACTTTCAATTTACATAAAATGCCATAAACATACCGAGCATAAACATTATAACAATAAACATAAAATTTTTGGCATTGATTATCTTTTGTCTTATACGTATTCCACGTAAACTCAAGAGTTATCACATTTTCGCCACTTCAATTGTAATACGACTCTGTGACTTCGCGCGCCATTTTTAAGTGAAATTCTTTTAAAAAGATAAGATCGTTGGAAAATTAATTAAGATATTGCACTGTTGAATGCTTATTACCATTGATGCATAAAAGAGATTGGAACGCCGGAGCACGGGGAACAACAAAATATGTTTAGTCTCGAAAAGTTTGATAGATATTTATTTTACAGATCACATAATGTCTTGCAATTATAAATAATTAATTGAACTCCGAGATGTATGATGAGAAGCTTATATAAAGAGAAGTTTATTTATTTATTTATTTATATAACGGTTTTGTTATTATTGCTATAATAAATATTGCTCTCTTACCTTCTCTCGTCTGACAACAGTCGTTCCATTTCTTTCAGCTTCTGTTTTAGTAAAATAACTTGTTGATTGTTGTTCTCGTCGTAAAATTCAGTCTTTTTCGGCATTTCAAAGTCATTCTCAGGCATGGAATTAAGTGTATTAGCGTCATAATAGTCTGTTTTCTCGATAATTTGATCGACAAACTGTTGTTCAAATCCTGGCTTGGGTATTGTTCTGTCAGAGACGTCTACATGACCTTTAACAGGCTCGACGCGAGCGGATGGAATAAATCGTTTGTCTTTTTTCAACTCCCTCTCCAATTTCTCAACTTCTCTTTCCAACTGCATTCTCATTTCCAAAGCCTCTTGCTTTTCGCGTTGTAGTGTTGTGATTTCTTTAGCAGAAGTCTCAAGCTGGAGTTTAAGCTGCCTGTTTTCTTCTTTGGCTTTGTTTCTCTCGGCTCGCACTTTCCCCCATTTTTCTCTCCAATTCGCGGTGCAGTCAGACCACCATCGCATTGTTTTTTCCATTTGAACAGCTCTGGCTCGTGCTTCTTCCAGTTCTCGTTCTCTTTGCTCATCTCGTGACTCTAAATCATCCAAGTTCGGTGCAGAATACTTCGGAGGCTGGAGAACGTCCATGACAATGCTATCTTCTGACATTGCTCTGTAGTTTGMTCCTCAAAACAGATCAATCAAAAATGAAGTTCGTGTGACTAGTCAGACGGCCAAAATGACACCCTTGAAAGTGCGAAGTATCTGTTGAAGCAGTTGCCAAGAAATGCACACCGAAAAAGTCCACGGTTTTATCTAGTGAAATAGTCAACTGAGTTCTTTCGAGTCGAAATGACTTGGTATTATTTAGGTTTAGTGCTATTAGTGCCAAGATTTGCAAGGTGGTCGTCTTGTGATGCACGTTGTGAGATCCTAATCAGCTGTGATCTGCAAACATTAAAATATACATAGCGTGAAGCTGATAAATGATTGATCAATCTGCAACATCGTATGACTGGAGTGRTGACGCCRAATTCCAGCTGAATTGCTCACTTCTAAACGCCTGCAAATTCACCAGGTTTTCCTTGGAAAWTGATGAGATTTTCTGTTAGATATCAACCMTATAACTAAAGGTCATTGGCCGTTATAGCAACAACAACCGCAGCAAGATCTGATTTCATAACTTTATAGCKTTAAGATATGAATTCATTTAAAGATGTCAATCAAGTCATTGTTCTTGATCATTTGATGCATGCCTGCACTCAAAATGCTACCGCAAAGGATTGAAAAATAATATCTTTTAAAAGTATCAAAATTGATTTTCTCTCGCTAACAATTTGGAAGGGTTTCTCGCTGGTTTTTCGATTAGAAATTATTCTGTTCTTTTTAATATACAGCCGAATCATAGGTAGTAACTATGGCCGAATAGAAGCGGTACTTGGTCAAAACAATAGGTCAACATTGAATAGAAGTAGTTAATTAAATATGCATTGAATATATAATCAGCGTTTAAAAGAATCGTGTTGCGCAATTATCTCAAGTTGGGATTCCTGTATATTTTCGCCACAGGGAATCCAATGTTTTGTGAAATGTCAAAATGGAGGACGAAGATGAAGATTTCTCACTGTCTGATCTCCCTGAAGAGATCCTACTGCTAGTTTTCTCTTTCCTCAAGGTGCAAGATGTATTAAGAGTCGGATGCACATGTCATTTGTTRCATGATTTAACTAGTCAAGATGTTGTATGGAGGCCAAGATTTCGTTGCAATAATGACCACTTGTTGTCCTTACCTACGACAAGTCACAGCAAGATTAATTCAGCTAATAATTCGTACAACAACAACAACCTTCCAGGAGGAATTTGGAAAAGACTTTATTTCAAAGCAAGTTTTGCGTTATCATTTCGCTTTCGTACTTCAAACGACCACGGCGAAAGACTGTGCGCAGARTTTGTGTCAAAGGCTCATGGAAATGGCATTCATTTTGATGAAAAAGCTCCCCAAAAAATGAGCGTCGAAACATGGATAAAACTAGACGAACRCAGACCTGATGGAATWATTGTTGGTTGTCAAAGTGAATCTGTTAGGTAAAATAATGAAAGGGTATTCGTGAATTCGAATTGACACTTTGGACATATAAGGTCATAGTATATTTATACGTAATTACCAAAAGGAGGCACGATCGAGGCATGATCAGGTTCTATGATCTTTTATTTCTTAGTGRATTATTCTTTTTGAGTGTGTTTGAAAAGAGCTTAAAATTGGACTCCCAAAATTCGTGCCAACAAGGGTCTCTCAAATGCAGATTCTTGGATATTGCAATCCCAATTTCACGTGAAATCAATCAATAAGTCAATCAATTAATTAAGGAATTAAGGAATTTACCAAACAATTAAACAGCAAATCAATTAAGTACATCTTGTCAATCAACCAAACAGAAAATCAATTAGCTAAACCTCGTTATCACTGTATATTGACCATAATAYTCTAACTGTAACATAGCTCAATGCGATGGCCAACATACCACTGGCAGATACTTCATGTTGGACCYGATCGCTGTGTACGGGGTTCCTTAGAGCCATATAAGTTTATGAAAGGACCTCAGTCTCTGGACTATGAATGGCATCATATTGCAATCACAGCATCASAGGACAAGCAGACATTGTTTATTGATGGGGAACCGGTAGATTCTATTCATTTTGGAATAGGCCATGAATATCACAGGTTTTGGATATTACTATATATTATTATTAGGCCCAGTGTGCACCATTATGCTTTAAGGGCTGTGAGGGGTGGGGGGCAGCCTTTTTCAGTTTACCAAAAGTCTATAAATTGTACTGTGTGTTTCGAATCTTTGACCATCTCACTTTTCTAAGCACTTTAAACCTAATATAAGAGTTTTCAACCATCTGAAATTCGTTTTATGGTGATATTTGAATACTAGAAGTATTTTGGTGTAAATCATAACAATAACAGAGGCGGGCAAAGCAGAATGGTGCAAACTGGGCCTTATATAGAATTGTAGCATATTGCATTGACCAAAATCATTTAGTTCAGCAGTTTTTTTCAGTTCAAAAACCGTAAATGTCAGGAAGCAGTAATTGGTGTTTACTTGATCCATGTCATGTGAAACTATTCAGTCAAAYTTAATGAGTCAAACAAGCAAACATTAAAAATGTTCATATTTAGCACAACGTTTGGTCCAGAGCTAAAGTACTGTTTTCCTGATCACGTATTTGTTTATTTGCAATGCAGGCATTTTATGAGGTATTGTCAACTAGGAAATGGCGTTATCAGTCATGGTGCAATGACGCCATGGAATACTAATGCTATGCCTTCTGGGAAATGTGGCTGGTACCCCTTTCATGGTCAGGTAAATATAAAAATGCTCACTATTATAACAGTAGTTTAGTTTTTTTTGTGTGTTCCTTGTGAAATAAACTACCCAGGATGTTGGGATAACAGCTAGAGATTTTTTACACCTTTTGAGTGTTTTTCCCAATATCCCAAGTGGTTTATTTCACCATGAATGCATGAAAATTTGTTGTTTTATTGCTTTTATATTATAGCATTTTCGCATTCATGCTTTTACAGGTGAAATAAAYAATAACATTTGATTAGTCAGAAAACGCATTCTATGATAGCTATAATATAAATATTCTGTTATTGTTATTATTTTCATCAATAGAGTACTCAAGTGATGACGTCACAAAACGAAAATTTTTGATTTTTCAAATTTGCCCTCCATATTCTGAAAGTGCATCATTTATAATGCATCCTTGCTAAATATGAGTGTCTTAGTTCCTTAGACCAAATTTACAGCATTTTTATGTGGTCACCCAACCATAAAATCTCTTGTACCTCCGCTATAGATGGCACTAGGACATTGAAATTTGGAAGATAGCTACTTTTTTTCCATGCGCTTCAAGGATATTTCAACGAATATGAAAAATTTGAAAAAAAGTATTTTTGTGACGTCACACTTGAGTACATCACTTCAGTATATCACTGCCAYTATAAATTTACTACTGGCATACAAACTATATTTCCTTTTTTCTTGATCTATTTCCAGGTCAGAGAAGTGAGAATCTGGTCAGGAGTACTACCTCATGAAGCTGTGAAACAAAACATGTATTGCCAGAGGGTGGACATGATGTCAYATGAACACAACTGCTCTCTGATTGGCTACTGGCCAATGAACAGACTAGTCTCAGGCCCTTGGCCATGGCAAGGCTCACTGGTATCGTGTACATCACAYTTAGAGGAACACAAGGAGAATACCTCACACTTGAGAACAGTTATTTCTGCTTTACTGTGAATTTCCTGGACATTGTTGGAATAGTAATCCAGTACCAGATATTTTGACAATATGTGCACCTTTGGTCTTCAATGAATAATTACAATCAGAGACTCAAACAAAGCTTTGGTATAAAAATATATCTCTGGAATTGAGGGGGTAAAAGACTCAATTTCTTTTATTTTTGATATATCATGAATTGACATATGATAGGCCTTGGTATAATATGATTTGGTTATAGACAATGGGAGGCAACATTTAGATAATTAGTAATTGATAATAATTTGATATATTAGATGTTTTTATTCTTGTATTTATTGTATATACGATCAAGAATTAATACATTGTTACTTGTCAAAAAATTAAAGCTTTGCCATAAATAATTATTATTCAGTTATGGTTATAGTTAGGAATTTGAAATTATAACTAATTGTGAATAATGTAGGCATTAATTTTTATTAAACAAGTATAATAAAAAATTGCAGCTTTTCAACAATTCAATGTAGCCCAACAACTCATTCAAGAGCTGCTACTCGCCCTCCTCTACACAGTACTACTTACCCTACCCTACACAGTATCATTCACTCTTTCCTGCAAAGTTCTGATTCATATATTAATATGTGAAGCCTTAGAGTCAGGTATAGATATATCTACTGTYTTGGTGTAAGATTGTAGTCCAGTATATCGTATAAAGGCAATGAGTGGTATAAACAACGATGATGCAAGAATCAGCACTACTATTACAAATACTGCCCATGGGGGGTAGGGTAGTTCTTGATAGGCAGCCTAGAAAAATAAAACAACGTAAAGGAGTGGTCATTCACATTCTTAAAGGAAAAAATATTTTTCAGTTGGATAGTGCTGTTCGCCAATACAGCTCCCCACCCCTCCCCTGCTTCCCACGCCAGCAAGAAGGTTATGACGATGTCTGAATGTAAAGTAAGATTGAGCGCACCACAAGGTTTGGACATGAAAACAAGGAATGGAGGCATGCATTTCCTCTTTAGAAAGATGGATTGGCAAAAAGGTGATTTATTTGTTGCTTTGGGCATACCTACCAATGCTTCATTCCAAGCAAAGTACGTCGCCTGTCCTTGCGTCATCAGTACAATGCTGGCAACCAAGATGATCAACATGGCAACAGGAGTTATAAACATCCAACATATTTTCCAAAACARASCAGGGCGTTGCCCTGTCATGTATTCRATGTCATCAGAAAACCTGAAATGTTGAAATSKYAWT